AGTATGAACCAACTCGACGGCACTTGGCAACAACGACAAGAAGCAATATTGGAGTCCTGATGTGTCACTTTAGGATCAGCACTGGACTGCTAACCACAAGGTCAACAGTTCAAACCCACCCACCAACTGCTCCTCAGAAACCCTATACTGGGTCACTGTGAGTCAGAACCGACTCCATGGCACTTAGCAACAAAATAGCAAGTAATATTAGTATTAAGGCTAATCATGAAAGCTGAGACTTAGCATATGCGTGTGCCACATCTACTCTGAATTTATTACATCTGTTAACTCATTGAGCCTTGCAGTGCCATGAGGCAGTGATATTATTGTGCCCTTTTGCCAATGGGGAACAAGGCTGGTAGCAAACTCAGTCTGCTGGTGGAAGCAGGGTGTATACCTGGGCAGTTACAGTAGAGCTGACAGGACTTGGGGTAGGCTAAGAGATAGCCCTGCAGCCCCTGAAGCCAGACCCTAGGATGTCTGAGGCAGGGTAGGCTATGCAGAGTGGGGAACCCTGACTCTGAATCCTGAAGGAACCTCCGTGACCCTTGGATGGAATGAGGAGATTGAGTTTTCTTCATATTCTCCAAGTCTCTGAGTTGCCCTCTACTGGCAGGACCCTTCTCTCCTCCCCACTCCCCTCTGTGACGCTGCCCACACTGCAGTTGGATGCTGCTGCCTATGGGACATGACCTCACATGACCACTATAACCTCTTCTACCGGCCTTCAAGGTGGGCCAGGCAGCTGGCACTGCCCTACTTGGCAAACTAGCAAACGAAGACCCAGACTATCTGGGCAAGATGGAGGAATGGACACAGGTTCCAGCCGAGGAGGGTCTGGGCTTGGGGTCCTGCTCTGCAGCTTTGCAGCTGTGTGACCTTTGAGAGGCGACCACCCCTCTCTGAGCCTCTTCCCTGGGTTGGTGAGTGGTGCGAAGTGTGCACTTTGCGGACCTGGTGCTCACAGTGCTGTGAACATTAATTATTGTTCCTAGTGGTAATGAACCCAGCACTTAAGCAGCTGGGTTGGGACTAGAGCACTTGGCTCCAGGCCCTGAATATTTACGCCAGTTCCCACCCTTGACTCCCACTGGAATAAGCCGTGGGTTCTGGGCCCCCCTTTTAGTGTCCTGCAGGAACGGAGAGGGAGTGATGGCGTCGTCACCCATCCCACTTGGCATGAGTCCGGTAGCCCACATGGCCCAGCCTGCGCCGGCGGCAGATGGAAAAATGAGGCGGGGTGGGGGGGCGGCGAGTCGTGTTGTTCTGATTCAGACACCGGGTGGGGAGAGGGCCACACGCGATCCGGTGAGCCCACCCCCTTCCTGCCTTCCTGGTGGCTGCAGAGCTGGCGGCTCTGAGAAAAGAACAGCTTGTGCACCCACCCCCTCAGCGCACACGTTTTCGCTTCACAGCGCATCTGTCAATAGCCCTCCACGACCTATTCCTTCCTGGTAGCTGGTCCTCCATCTGAGCGAGGGGGCACACTTTACTAGAGAGAGGAAGCATCAACTTTGCCCAGTGCTACCATTGTAGAAAATTCTTAAGGACACCTGCCTCAGTGTCCCAGCTGGTGAAATGGGAATAATTAGAGTTCTAACCTCCACAGGTGGTTGTGAGGTTTCGTGAGTAATACGTGTGAAGTGCAAAGATGGTCCTGGTACAGGGACTCAGTCATGACGTGGAGCAGGGAGGACTACTGTGGGCAGAGAGCATGGGGACCCACGGGACATTGCTTTGGCCCCTTCCAGTCCGGAGATAGAAATGCACCCTATGAGCTGAATGCCTACACCTGAGGTTTCTGAAAGTCCAGCCAGCTCGGACAGTGGGTGGCTGGCGCTGTCACTTCTGTAGACTGACCATGGTCAAGTGAAGGCCCTGAGGGCAACAAACTGCCTCTCCGCCAGTGTGTTCGGTTTGCATAACGTTTTACAGACCTGGAGGGCCAGTGCCTACACAGGAGGGGGGTGGGGTGGGAAGTAGTCCCATTTTACAGAAGGTAAAAGTGAGGTTTTGTGGTTGCTTCATACCAGAACCAAGATTCCTACGTGACTTAAGGGTTAGAAGGAGTTCCCAGGGTAGCAAAGATCAGTGTAAACCCACTGGTCACTCATTCCTTTCTCCTGCCACCTCACCTGGCCTCCACACCAGCCTGGTGACCAAACAGGCACCTGCATTGTTGTGATCTCTTACCTAGGATATGGTGAACAAGTAAGGTGGTTTGAGCCCCCTACAACCTCCCCAGAGCCAACCTGGACCACTCAGTGACTTGCATCTCAGGGCCGTATTGCACAACCTGCAAGAGAGGTTGGTCATCAGTCCCTTCCTACCGCCAGCAGATGGGGAGCGGAAGGGCTGAAGTCTTTTTGGAAAAAGCCGCTCAAGAGCACACAAGTACACACACAGGACTACACAGACTGAGCATTTGATCTGGTACCAGAACACCCAGCCTTTGAAGCAACCTTTCTCATTGGAGCCCCCAGCAGAACTTAGGGAAAGACAAGACCAAGGGAGAGAAGGGGTCCTACAGGGGCTGCAGGGCAGGTGGTGGGAGAGGTTGTGAGCAGAGTGATTGAAAACGTGTTGGAAAGCTAGAGTGCCTGGGTTCGAATCCTGGCTCTGCTGCTTTCTCTTGGGGTGATTCTCACCCAGTGCCCCCACCCATTAAATGAGGACACTGGAGACACAGGCCTCAGAGTCTCATTAAGCAGATCCAGTAAGGGAATGCTGGTGAGGTGTCTGCTGGGACCCACAGGTTTTCCTACCACCCCCAAGTACTGGAACCCTTGACCTGAAATCCCCACTCAGGGTAGGCTTTGAACTAGGCCTTTCCCCCACATCCCATTATTTAATCCTGACAGCATCCCCACAAGGTGTACATCACCAGCCCCATTTTATGGATGAGAGAAAATGATACCCGTGAAGTCACCTCTCCTGACCCTCAGCCCCAGGCAGAACTGTAGAACCAAGGGTCAGCCCTCCAGCTGCTCAACCCTGGTCACTTTCACTGTCCAGCACAAGAAGGAACTGCTAAGGTGTCAGGCCTTGGGCTGAGCATGGCACTTGGCCTGCACATGCTCTGCCCCCAGCACTTGGTAGCAGGGGACACATTTATCCCCTTGTCATGTGTCAGGAAAGGATCAGAGAGGCTAAGTAACTTGCCCAGTGTCACCAAAAAGATAACCAGGAGGGCCAGGGATAGGACATGTAGAGCTGTATTTGCCCCAAGTTGCAGAGCCAGCCCCTCTGCTCGGGAACTCTGGAAGGTCTCAGTATGTGCTTGGGTTTCTGTTTTGCTTTCAGCTGGTTTTTGACATCTGGGGCAGTGCCAGACTGCTAACCACAGGTCGATGGTTCAGATCCACCAGCTACTCCATGACAGAAAGATGAAACAATCTGTTTCTGTAAAGACTTACAGCCTCAGAAACCCTGAGGAGCAACTCAATGGCAGTGCCTTTGGGTTTAGGCTTTGAATTTACGGCAGTGCCTAGCATACAGTTTGTGCTCCCTGAATTTTGTTCAGTGAATAAAATGGAGACTCCAAAGAGATCATGTCTGGGCCCTAAGCTGGGGCAGTGCCAAGGGCCAGGATGAATGAGAGGCACCCAGCCTCTAGGGCCTGGAGAAGCCTTGAGTAACAGAAGGAGGGAGGAAGCCAGGGAGGTGGGGGAGGTTTAATTTGTGTCCCAGAAGCTCAGTGAATTATGAATCTCCAACTGATAAACCCAGGAACATTTGTAGGATAAGCACTGGACTGTGAACTACAAGGTCAGAAGTTCGAACCCACCAACCGCTCTGCAGGAGAAAGATAAGACTTTCAGTTTCCAAAAGGATGTATAGTCTGGGAAACCCTATACATGGTTGCTGTGAGTTGGAACTGACTCAACAGCACTTAACAACTACACTGATGATCCCATGCCCCCTCCAAGAATCTAGACCTGTGGCTTCACCATTAGGGGAATGAGAGGTCTCCCTGGTTCTTGTCCAAGTTTCTTGACTGCTGGATCACAAATTAGGATGGTAGAGCCAGGAGAAAGGCAATCAGCGAGACTCTATAACACTTGGGTGTCATTACAAGCAGAGTAGGGGGTTGCGAGGGTACACCTAGAACTATCCTGCCCCAAACAGTACATTTTCACAAACAGTCTGTTTATTGACATTACCCATAACCTTCCTACAGCCTTTCCCAGTAGCTACAGTTGTCCCAAGTTGAATGTGAGGCAACGGATTTACCCAGCATTACATAGCAAAGCTGGTTACAGAGCTGGCTTGGGCCTTGGGCTGTCAGACTCTGGTGTCTGTGATTTGTCCCTGGGATGACCACACCCCTGAGCACTATTCCAGACCTCTGGGTGTCTGCACAGAGATTTGACCATATCACTGTTTGGGAATAGTTTGTCAAATGAATGAGCAGAGGTGAAGACAGTCCACCCCTTGGTGGGTTTGTGGGTGTATCACCTTCCAGCCATGCATGACCAGGTAGTGGCTCTCAACCCCAACTGCACACTAGAACCACTGGGTGCTTTACTCTTCCCTCATCCCCCCACCTTAGAATGAGATGTCCTTGAGGGTGGTCACCGGGTCTGTTTCTGATCACTGCTAACATAGAAACAGAACTTGCTACCATTCAACTCACCAGTTTGCATCCAGTTGCTTCTGATATATGATGACCCCACGTGTGTCAGAGTAGAGTGGGTTTTCAGTGACAGATTTTTCAGAAGAGATGGTCAGGCCTTTCTTCTGAGGTATCTCTGGATAGACCCCAACCTCCAACCTTTTAGTCAGTAGCCAAGTGTCTTAAGCCTTAACTGTTGGTACCACCCAGTGCTAGGCATTAAGGAAGCATGCTGAGTAAAGTTGGAATTGGTATCCCCATTTTGCGTGTGGGGAAGCTGAGGCTTACTTGAGTCCACTCCTCTGGGGCATTTCCAGACACATGCTTCTTTCCTTCCTCCTTCCCTGTGACCTCACATGCTCCTCTTTCTCTGCTCCATATGCAGCAGGAGCTCCCAGCCCGTGTGAACTTCTCAGCCGCCCCGGCCCCGGCCCCTGCAGTGCCCACCGCCTTGCACTCCAAGATGGATGAGCTGGAGGGACAGCTGCTGGCCAAGGTGCTGGCGCTGGAGAAGGAGCGCACGGCCCTCAGCCACAGTAGCCACCGGCAGCGACAGGAGGTAGAAAAGGAGCTGGACAAGCTACATGGTCGTGTGGCCGAGCTGGAGCATGGTGGGTCCTGGGCCCAAAAGACCTAGGGAGACAGAAACACTCACCAAACCTTTTCATACTATCCAGAGGCTAAAGCTGAACAGGATGGTGGGACTACAAAACACAGGAGGGGGAGGAAAATCAGAGAGGATTATTATCATCATGAACAGTTAAACGCACTTCCTGGCTCTCACTCTGTTTGAGCACTGGGCTAAGTGCCTGATATGCCTGCTGGTTTCATCTTCACAAACCTTACAGGGCTAATACTGTTATTATCTTAATTTCACAGATGATATAAAACTGAGCCTCAGAGAGGCTAGGTGACTTGCCCAAGATCACACAGTCAGTTAGTAGATCTAACCCTTCAATCCTGGTCTGTCTGACTCCAGGTTCGTGCATTTAGCCACCACACGAAACACTCTTCGGACAAATCAGTCAGGGCTTTGTCTTTTATTTCACACCCAGGCCTGGCACTGCTACTGTTTTAGAAAAACATGACGTCACGGGCAGTGGACAGGTGTGAGCGTCAAGAGGCCTGGCTCTTGACCCCACATCTGTCTCTGGCTTGCTCTGTGGTCTTGGTAGCTCACTTTCCTTGCCTGGGCCTGCATTTTCTCATCTGAGAAATGGGGTTTAGGAATCATGAGTGGGGATAAATCCAGGAGGACTTCCTGAAGGAGGTGGAATTCAAACTAGTCCTTGAAAGCAAATGTGGAGAAACAAATTTTAGAGCAGAAGAGCCAGGTGCAGAAGAGGGGCAGCCCTGGTGGACTCTGTAGCCAGCATCCCAACTAGAATACAGGGATAGGAAAGGCAACCTCAGTCCCTACCCAGTGACAAAGGCCAAGACCCTAGCTCTCTACATTGTGTCTCCTAAGGAGTTGGGAAACTGTACTCTCAAAGGGCAGTGGGGGTAAGACATCTGTGTGCCCATGGGTAAGTCACCTCCTTTTTTGAGGCTCAACTTCTTCATTTTTGAAATGGGTACAAAGAGGCAGTCACTGACCATGATGCATCACATCAGTCTCCACCCCAAGACCCAAGCAGGCCTGAGACCCTGCCATCCCCAGCCCCCACGTCGTACTCCCGGCCCTTAACAACCAGCCATGGGAGGACCCCCAGCTGGTTCCTGCCTCTACAGGAATCAGGAGGTTCCAGGCAGATGGCAGTGCATGAGGACTCCCTCCCTAGTGGTATTGTACCATCCCCTCCCCTAAAGAGCTTCTCCAATTTACCCCTTGCTTCTAGAAAGCCCTCTTATATTCAAGACAAAAAAGCCCAGAATCTGAGAGCTGAAAGATACATTAAAGACTAGATATCTGGTCTCCAGATTGTTTTCTTCAAATTCCAACTCTGCTATTTACTAGCTGTGTGACCTTGAGGAGATTACTTAACCTCTCAGTGCCTCATATGGTTGTTACAAAGAATAAATAAGAGAACATAGGAAAATCACTTAGAATGGTGCCTGGGAAAGAAAGTATTATCATACTTGTTAAATAGGCAGCGGACTATAAAACAATACTTTTATTACCATATTTATTTGTTGTGAGCCAGGCCTTGTAAATATTTTGTCCCATTCAACCCTTGCATAGGTCTGGGAGGGAAGAAGTATTATTAGCTCCATTTTACTGAGGAAACAGGCTGTTACCCTTTAACTTGTCAATGGCCACATGGATGGTAAGTGGTGGAGGCAGAATTTGAACCCAAGACACCTCAGGTCCAGGACCCTTGTGCTTTAACCTCTCCCCTCAACACAGAGGCAGAGTGGAAATGGACAGAAAGGAACCTAGTGCCTGGTCACAGCAGTTGCCCAGGAATGATTGGCTATCACCCTGCCCACCTACCGCCAGTGTCCACAGACCCCCTACATCTCCAACTTGCCTTCCTTCTCAGGGTCCTCTGCCTACAACCCCCCAGATGCCTTCAAGATCAGCATTCCAATCCGCAACAACTACATGTACGCCCGCGTGCGGAAGGCGCTGCCTGAGCTGTACGCCTTCACCATCTGCATGTGGCTACAGTCCCGGTCAAGCGGCACTGGCCAGGGCACCCCCTTCTCCTACTCGGTGCCTGGGCAGGCCAACGAGATTGTGCTGTTGGAGGCGGGTCATGACCCCATGGAGTTGCTGATCAATGACAAGGTGAACAAGGGATGGGCAGGGTGGGGAGGGCAGGAGCCCCCGACGTGACTCAGGTGGGTCCTGGCTGGACTGGGTGGGTCTCAATTACAGGGTGGCTCTTTCAATTCAGCACACATTAAATGTCTACTGTGTCTCAGGCTAGGTTCTGGGAATATAATGACAAGCAGAAGTAGTCCTGGCTGTTGAGGTGTGAAATATCATTCCCATTTCACAGATGAAGCATGTGAGCCTCACAGGGATTGATGACTTCCCCAACAACCTGGCTTTAGGGCTAGAGCTGGAGATCTCTCTCCAGGGCCCATGCTCATTCTCCTAGGCAAAGGGAGAAGCAGGTGAGGCCCAAGGACTTACCTGGGGAGAAAGAGAGGAAGGGATTATACTGGTGGACTCCTATTCCTTGCTGTTCCCCTGGGAAGAGCCCCTCTACCCCTGCCCATTTTTCGGGGAGGCTAGTGCAGAGTCAGACTCGGAAGCCTGAATGCTGGGTTTGAATCCTTGTTCTGCCCCTTAGCCACTATTGGACTTAATCACTTACCCTTCCTGCACCTATCTGACTCTCTGTGTCTCAGTTTCCTTGTCTGCTAAACAGGACTGATGAGAGTCCACATCTCTAGGTTGTGGTGAGGAATAAGTGATTTAAATGCATATAAGGTGAAGCCCTGATGTGGCACTATAGAATAAGCACCAAACCAAAATGTCAGTTTGAACTGAAAGGTCGGCGGTTCAAACTCGCCAGCTGTTCCTCAGAAACCCTACACAGGATTCATGATGAATCAGACCCTACCTGACTACACTTATCAACAACAAGGTGCTTTGAACAGAGCTTGGCATTTAGCAAGTCTTGATAAATGTAAATAAACCAACCAAACAAAACCACTGCTGTCAAGTTGATTTCAACTCATGGGGAACCCGTAGGACAGAATGAACAATCTTTTAGGGCTTCTGAGACTGTTGATCTTTACAGTAGACAGCCCCATCTTTCTACCATGGAGTAGCTGGTGAATTTAAACTACAAACCTGTGGTTAGCAGCCAACATTTAATCCAGCCAACACCGGGGCTGCTCTGATAAATGTTGTTGTTAAGTGCCATCTAGTCAGTTCTGATTCATAGCGACCCTGTATTCCAAGGAGCAACTGGTTGGGTTTGAACCTTGTGGTTAGCAGGTCAGTGCTGATCCTTGCCCTACATACTACACCAGACTCTTCTGATAACTGTAAGCTATCTTTATTACCCAAGGCTCTGTGCTAACATTATCTACTTGCATTATCACACGTGCTCCTTCCAACAGCACTGGAAGGTAGGTGCCAGCATTATCCCTGTTTGGCAGATGGAGAAGCTGAGGCTCAGAGAGGGGAAATAGCACACCCTGAAACAAACTGGTGAAGAGGTGATTTAGGCTCTCAGCTTCCAGAAACAACCTTTTAACCTCTCTCCTCTTACTCCCCTGGACCACCCATCTTCCCCATGCCCAGGAATGAGCCCCAGCTCCCTACCTTGATCTGACTGTAGGACAGGACAAGGACAGACCTTAGGTGGGAGATGATTTTGCAGGGATGTGGTAATTAAAGGCTGAAGGAAAGCAAGCTCTAATTACCTCCATTCCCCCTCCCATATCTGTTACGTTGCTTTGGGTCTTACAGGCATAGTGGTCTTTTGAGTGGTTACAAATCGGGCTGCGAACCTTAAGGTCAGCAGTTTGAAACTATCAGCCGCTCCGCGGGAGAAAGATGAGGTGTTCTGCTCCCGTAAAGATTTACAGCCTCGGAAACCCTGTCTAGGGTTGCTATGGGTCGGCACCAACTCGACAGCACTTAACAACAACAACATAAATACAGACACTATATATATCAAACCCACAGTGACCAGTCCACAGCCGCACAGCCATTGGGAGTGGTAGACACCCATCCAAACCCAGTTCCATAGGAGCTACCCTTCGTGGGTGTCCTGAGGAGGAGACGGGCCCAGGGAGGTAATGAATTTCTCCTGTGATCCTAAGAAGATCAAGGTGGCCAGGCTACATCTAGATCCTGCTACTCTGTTCCCTTCTGACACCTGATTGTTATCCTTGCCCCTGTCCGAGATCAGAGCTTAGTGCCTAGTGAAAGGAAATCAGCACCTTGGACAGGGCACTACGCAGCCCAATAGATGTTAAGTGCCGTTGGGTCACTTCCAACTCATAGCGACCCTAATAGGGTTTCTGAGGAGCCGCTAGTGAGTTTGAACCACCGACCTTACGGTCCAGTGCTTTATCCTACAGCAACCCTATTAGGTGAACTATTCTGGGAGCCTCTGGAATCCTTTAGAGCATCTATCTAGCAGACTTGAGTCCTGATGTGGTGCTGCAGGTTAATGTGCTAGACTGCAAGGTCAGTTTGAACCGCAAGACTGGCAGTTCAAGCTCACCAGCCACTCTTCACAAGCCCTATATAGGGTCGCTATGAGTCGGAACCCACTCAATGGCACTTAACAACAACAAATCTAGCAGGCTATTCACTGTTTCCCTTGATTCCAGCTTCTAAGCCTTCACTCATGCTGTGGCCTCCACTTGGTTTGCCTTTTAAGTATCTTCTGTTTCCATACCCGCCTCTTCCTCTGGACTTCACAGCCTCTGGTCTCGCATATGGATCCTATGCCATTTTGTCTTGCAGTGTCGTCCCTGAAATCTTTCCTTCCTGTTCAGACTCAGCACATTTAAAGCTAAGACTGGGTCCATTTCCCCCATTTCCAGAGCAAGGCCTGTCACCAAATAAGGCATCAAATAATGTTTCATTCAGTTGTGATCTCTGAGATCAAAAGCCTCTTGGGAACATCAGATCCACACACACAGCAAGTGCCATCAATCTCACAGGCCAGCTGTAATCACTTAGCAAGTGCCTCCCCAAAGCACTGTGATGAGAAAGATTCTGAGGCTTAGTCTAGGCTCATAATTGATTAATCATGTCTGCTTTGGGTGGAGGAGAAAACAGTGACTGCATATTTACTATTCCTGATCTGACCGCCTCCCTTTCCAGATGAAGAAACTGAGGCCCAGAGAGGAAGCCCTGTTGGTGGCAAAAGCAGGGCCAGGAAATCTGAGCCTTTGTTGTTTGCTGGGCACTGAGCAAGGTGTTCAAGGGGAAGGCGTGACTATGAGATGCAGCCCCTACCCCGAATGGCTTTCCAGGATTGTTAAGGAGGAATAAACTCCCAGGGAACAACTGAAAATCAACACTGAATCACCCTTTGTGATCTAAGTGAGACCACATGGCTAGGTTAGATTAGAGGGGAGGGAGGTCAGGGGAAGATGCTGGACTGGGAGGAAGTGGAGGGTCAACCCTGATCAGTCCCTGAGAGAAAGGGTCCCTCTTCCACTGCTCCCACTTGGTCCTTGTGGGACCTCTGACCTGAGTTTGGGAACCTGTGTGTCCAGGTTGTCCAGATTCCCCTGAGCCTAAAGGACAATGGCTGGCACCACATCTGCATTGCCTGGACCACACGGGATGGCCTATGGTCTGCCTACCAAGATGGCGAGCTTCGGGGCTCTGGTGAGAACCTAGCCTCATGGCATCCCATCAAGCCTCATGGGATCCTCATCCTGGGCCAGGAGCAGGTAAGACCCAGGCTGATGTTGCCCAAACAGATCTCCCCAGGGCCTATTCTGGAGATGGGACCAAGGGAACCTGAAAGCCCAGCAGTGATCATTTGTTCTCATGGGTAGATTGAGGCCCAGGGAGAGCAGAGACACCCCACCCCAAGGAGCTAGAATCATGGGGGCAGATTTTGGCAGGGACAGGACCTAATTCAGTGTGTTTATGCTTGCTGTCTCTAATGTTCCCTTATTCACGTCTCTTTCCTCTCTTTGCTCATCTGGCCAGGACACCCTTGGTGGCCGATTTGACGCCACCCAGGCCTTTGTGGGTGACATCTCTCAATTTAACATGTGGGACCACGCCCTGACACCTACCCAGGTCCTGGGCATTGCCAACTGTACCGAGCCGCTACTGGGAAATGTCATCCCTTGGGAAGACAAGCTGGTGGAAGCCTTCGGGGGTGCGACCAAGGCCAACTTTGATGTCTGCAAGGGGAGGGCCAAGGCATGAGGAGCCACCTCGTCCAGGGCCCCTCCCCTGCCTGCCACTTCAGGGACTTGAGGGGCGCATCCCCTTCTCAGCCTGTCCATGCACTGGCCTCCCCTGTCTCCAAGTCCCTGCTTCCCTCCTGCCTTCCCCACACCTCCAGAATGCCCTACCCTGCCTGTGATGGGTATCCCCAATGCCATCTAGATGGGGACAAGCACCACGAGTCACCAGGTCAAGCCTGGGGTGAGTCCAGGGCTGGACGGGAGAGTACCAGTGTCCAGAGCTCTGTCTACCCTCCTAGCATTGCACTGGAATCATCATCCTGTTTGATTCCATTTTCTCAACTGCACTCCCTTGAGTTAAATATAAGGGAAGGGCACAATGGAGAAGGTGGCTGTCCACCCCAACACTCCATGCAGCAGGCCTAGAGCCTCACCCTTCCGGGCCAGAAGAAGCTGTAGAGCAGCCCCCCACCCCCACCCCCACCCCCTAGCTGAAAAGGGAATGATAGAGGCAGGGAAGCTGATATGGAAGCTCCCCCCAACAGCCTGCGCCCTTCCTCCTACCCCTCCTTCTTTGGTCCATTGTGTGAAGCTGTTTGAATGTCCATTCCACGCCCAGCCCACATCCATCATCTGTTGTGTTCACCCACAGCAGTGCCACTGGCATGGCCACTCCCTGCCACAGGAGAGCCTCCCCTGGCCCCTCCCTCTGTGGCCCCTCCCTCAGCCTGCCTCTGGGGAGGGAAAGAAGCTGAGGGAGGGGCCAGAGGTGTGGGGTGGTGCGCAGAAAGAGCAGTAGACACAAGGAGAGTTTTGATTCCTAGCCAGCCCTACTGCTCACCTGCTCTGAAACCTTCTGTACAACTTTGCCCTCTCTGGGCTTGGGCTTTCTCATCTGTGAACTGAGGCCCTGGCTTTGGTCATTTCTGAGAGGCCCTCTAGACTGAACATAATATGGCCTCTGATTCCAAGTGCATAAGGCAGGGCAAGCCCAGGATCCCCCTGGGAGACCCAGAAGAGATTATGGGACTGGACAGCACTTGGAGTCAGGATAGGGCTTTTGGAGTCAGGGCCAGTCACTGGCTCCAGAGAGTCAGGGTCAAAGGCAGGGTTCAAGGCAGGCCAGCTTCACATGTGGACTGTCAAAAATCACCCACCTCTGAATCCCCCATCTGGCACCTTTGCCTGGATGAGGCCGTCTCAGAGGACTGGTGGCTTCATGATCCCCAGCTTGAACCCAGCACCACCAAGACATGGGAAAATGTCAGACTAAGAAAGGCCATCCATTCTGGGGAAGAGCTCAGAGAGGGCAAGCAACTTGCACAGAATCACACAGCACAGTGGGGCAGAGCCAGGACTAGAATACAGGCCTTCTGACTCCCTTCTCCGTGCTTTTCCCCTGAAACCGTACTGCCTGTTTTCAAGGATCTGTGAGTCTAGCCTAAACCCATGAGATAGGCATTTGAGAGTTCAGGATGCTTTCTAAGAGAACAGTTGGGACATTTTCCTTTATATAACACCCAAATATCTTAGTACCTCCCAGGAGGTTGCAGGAATGATAAGTTACAAATACAGGTGTCCTACCCCTGCCAGCTTCCAGGTACCTGACTCATGTGGGCACTGTTGCCTCTCCTCTAGCTTATCTTCCCCCTCTTCATTTTCCTGGTCACATGATCCTGGAGCCTGTGGGACCCAATGCCATGGAAGCTTCTTCAAAACTTGTTGCCTCCAGCCCCCAGATCCTTGTTTCCATTTCAAGAGCACAAATAGATTATTCAGCATCTCTTGTCCAACTCCCCCTGGAAGTAGAAGCAATGGATGGTGTGCTCAGCCCAAATCTACTGAGATCTAGGTTGCCCTGGTAACAGCCAATGACATCAGCCCAAGTGCTGGGTCAAGTGTCTCATCCATAACGACACGTGCTGTTGCTGGGTGATGACAGAATTCGGAACTTAGATTTTGGGGATGCTGGGCTGTGTTGGGGTTATGTTATTGTTTTTAGAGAAGTAGCTTTTTTCTGGGGGTCTCGAGGGAAGGAAAGGGTATTAGGAGGGAGGTGATGGAACTTGTTCGGTCACTTGAGTCCACCCAGGCACATCATCCCACATCCTTTATGCTTTGTCATGGTGATGACGAGACATCTGAGTCTCATTTCTGCACTGAGTCAGCCTGGTCAGTCCTCTGGAAGAAATAGGAACAAATGATGAGGTTAGAGTGTTGATTGTGAGTCTGGTTGTTTGCTGAGGGGCCTGAGGCCCCGTTTCCATTCCAGGAAGATGGAACCTAAAGTCCACATTCCTTCATCCAGCATCTGCTAGTTGGATTCGTCCTTGAGATCTTGTGTATTCTTCAGCTGCGCCTGGGGCATCCAAGAAGACAGGGCAAGAGAAGCTAGACTTGGTGCTTGTCCCTGGTAGATCACAATGATGGTGCCCACGTTTATTACAATCTTAGTGTCAGGCCACAGGCAATTGATTGTCCTCCCAACACGATTATGTATTAAGACTATTCTTAGCCCCATGCTACAGGTGAGAGGACTGGAGCACAGATACCCTATATAACTTGCCCAGTGTAGATCAGCCAGCAAGTGATGGAGTCCGGATTGCAAACTACAGCAGGTTACATATAGGTCCCACCCCTCAGTTCAAGGGAGCGGGTACCCCCCACTCTGTGTGGGGAATGGAGTGGGGAGTTCGGCCTGAAGGGATATGGCTGACCTCATTCACCATCCCATGGGTCAGAGGAACAGGCATGGCTGGGCCAGCCTCAGGGTCCCCCCTGAGTGAGGCCACCAGAGAGATTGTGTTCCTCTGGCAGCCTCAGCCCTTCCCTAACTCAGCAGTTTCCAGGAGAGCAGAAAGGGAGCAGGAAGCTAGAGTGTCTCCCAGGGTCCCAGACAAGGAAGTTGATCACCTTCAACTCCTGCTGTGGGCCACCTCCTGCACATACCTGGTGCTTCACAGCTCTTACCTGCCAGATCTAACCCCAGCTTGGTGACTACTGCCTCCAACCCACGTCCCAAGGGCCATGTCTTCTCATCACAGTTGAGCATGACCTAGGACCCCAGGCTTGGGCCAAAGCCACCATTTTACAGATGAGGGAACTGAGGCAGAGAGGTGAGTGGCTCTGAGGCCACACAGCTGAGATACAGGGAGACTCTAAGGTCAGTGCTATGTCCATGAGATGGGGTACCCCTCTTCCCCAGAATGGGGTTCTTCCTTTTCTAAGTTCCCAGCACCCTTGGCTCCCTCCTAGAGATGGGACCACGGTCCTTACTCCCCATGTCCCAACAGTCTGCCACTCCAAACGCCACCATACCCCCTCCCTGTGCTGGTTGGGGAAGGGGCTCATTGGGCCCAGGCTGAGCAGTGAGCAAGCATGTCTCATCTGACACTGTGAATTAGTGCCCCCTACTGACCACCCACTGACCCCAGCCCTCCCCCCTCTTCCTCCTCCTCGCCCCATTTTGTATATAAAGTGACATGAGCTACGACATGTGTATGTGTGTGTGATATATGTCATGGTTTTTTGTTACTTTTTTGTTTTTGTAAATCTGAATATTCAAAATAAATATGATGTTTATTTCAAGACTCTTCTTTGAAGGGGGCTGCTGGGCAGGAGGGAGCAGCGATGGGCAAAGGCTGATGGGGGGGCTTTCATGAACAGCCTCTGGCCTCACCTAACCCCACATATCCCCCCGAAAACACATAGGTTCTGCTCGTCTTAGGTTCAGATGTACTCCGTGCCTCAGGACTGAAGCAGAAGGATGTTAAAAAAAAAAAAAAAAAATCCCACACGGAAAGTGTCCCAGTTCTGATAACTGAGCTTTGGCCTCATTTCTAGCACACCATCCCCACCTCGTGCCCCAGTTCTGGGAACTGGAGCCCAATATGTCCGAGACACTTGCCTGTTCCCCCAAGTGTTGTCTTCCCTTGGGGTCCTGGAGAGATGAGGTAGGGTAGGGGAAGGACCCTATTCTATTTTAACTCCTTCCCCTCCCCCATAGTCAATCTGGGCCCCTGACACTTACCTCTCCTTCAGGTAAGCATCAGGGTCTACTGCCCCCCAACACCTGTAGTGCTCACGCCATCCCCAGCTCTCCCTATCCACGCTAGCTTAAGAACAAATGCTCTCCCTTCCTACTCTATCAACATTGTCACTACTCTTCATGGGACCTTGCCCTCAGTTGACCACTGTGAAATGGCCAGGGAGTCCATCAAGGGTCAAGGAATGGGTCACACCAATTGTTGTTGTTAGGTGCCATCGAGTCAGTTTGGACCCATGGCAACCCTGTATAGGGTTTCCGAGGAACGGCTGGTGAGCTTGAACCACCGACCTTGTAGATCAAACCAACTTTGCAGTCCAGCGCGTTAAATCCACATCACCACACCAGGACTCCAGGTCACACCAGACTTTCCAAAGCTTCCCTGACTTCCAACAAGAGTGAATTCGCCCCATGAGGACTAGGGCCAGGTATAGCTGAATCTGGCACTTCAAATAGGAAAAAATGTATTTGAAGTCTGTGTTATCTGGAGAAAAAAAAGCATGTGCTCTCTTTTCCCATTTTACCTCAGAATGAATCCAGATTCATTTTTAAAGATATTTTTACATTTTTGTCATCAAGCGGAATGAAACTGCAAGCATATATGCCTAGTGTCTTCATTATGTAGTGCTGTTCTAAGAGAAATACCACAAGTGGTTGGGTTTGACAAACAGAATTGTATTCCGTCACAGCTCAGGAGACTAGAAGTCCGAATCCAGCTTGCTGGTTACAAGGGAAGGCTTTCTGTCTCTGTCCACTCTGGGGAAGGTCTTTGTCTCTCTTCAGCTTCTGTTCATAGCTCCTTGGTGATCTTCACGGGCATGGCATCGATTTGTCCCCTTCGCCACTTGCTGCTTAATTTGCTTTTTTATATCTCAAAGGAGATTGACTTAAAACACACCAAACACAAATACTGCCATATTAACAAAATCCATTGCCAAATGGGATGATAACCACACGTATGTTGTTGTAAAGTG